GCGCCTCCGCCCCCCACTTCAGGGACCGTCCCGGAGGTCCCTGGCGGTTGCAGCCGAGGCCTGCGTCCGGCAGCCGCGCGGGCCAGGCAGGACGCGCAGTTTCACCGTCCGGAGCCGGACGGGCTTGAGGGCCCAGAAACCCCAGTCCCTCGGGCCGCTACTCCCGGGCGCCGGGCTCGCGCGCGTCTCGCTCCTGCCGGTGACCGCGCTCCTCTGGCCTCATCACTCTGGGGCGTTCCTGGGGCCGCCTCTTTTCCTCCCACTCGGGTTCTGGCCGCTTCTGCTCCCCACCCATGTCCCTTTCGCCCTGTGCGGAGTTTGCCCCAAGACAAGGGTTCGGGACAGAAAGCCGGGAGGGACTAAAAGGCCGTCGCCCGGCCGGGTGTCTGGGGGCGTGTCCACCCCGCCCGCGTCGCCCCGCCCCTAGTCCCCAGGAAGCCGTTCCGGCCAGTCCCGCGGCTAGCTTGCGCCCACCGCCCCCCCTGTCCTGCCAGGTCCAGGACCCTCTGTCCCTTCACATAGGGACTCCCAGGCCCACACCTCTGTCCACTGTGGGTGATGCAAAGCCTCAGCCTAACTGGAGCAGGAGACTGCGATTGGGGCAGCTCTCTCCCAGGCCTGGGCTGCCTCTCCCGCGCGGTGTGTGTGGGGGGGGCGGGAGAGGCTCTCTGTGTGTGTGTGTGTGTAGGGGGGTTGTGCTGGGGCCGGGGGCCCACACCCCAGTGTGCCAGGTCGCAGTCAGTGTGCGGCCGAGTGCAGGCTGAGCTGTGTCTAGGCTGGCAGGTTGCTATTGGGCCAGTGTTTGCTCTGAGGTCTTAGGACACGTTTCTGGAAGGTGAAAGAACTCAGGTGTGAGTGCAAGGCTTCTTGTCCTTTGTCACAGTGCTGTAGGTGTACCCGAACACCTGGCAGGGACCCCGGGAACAACTCCCCAGGCAGACTGGCTACAGCTGTCGGCGTCAGACGCAGGGCAGACTCTGCCTTCTGTGTAACTAAGAACCGAAGTGTTAAATCCTGGAATTTGAAAAAAACACTAAAATTCTGACTCCTTTGCTGGCCTTTCCCAGAAACAGTATTTGGCCCATTTGGCAAATTCCTGCCTCCCAGCCAGTTGGGACGTGTGTTTTAAAAAATACATAGCAATTTGAGAAAAAGTTCCACATTCACTCCACTTCTGCGCCTGTCTCAGAATACCCCTGAGCGCAGGACGTTCATGGCGGCCCTGGGCCGCGGCTCGCAGCAGGGCGAGTGGCCCAGAGCAGGAGGGCAGGAGGCAGATGCCGGGGAGTGTCCAGACTCGCACAGCAGTCACAGCGACAGCCAAGTGGCCTCTGCAGGGAGTGTGCGTAAGTGCCTAGAAGGAGCTGGAAGGAATCACAGAGACTCACTGGCTACTTCTGGGAATTGAAACTGTTTAGACTTAAAGTAATATTTACCATTTTTTAAATTTTTTAAAAAAAATTTATTTATGCGTACAAGAACTGGGGTACAGGCCAGAGGTGCTAGGGGTAAGAGGAATCACGAGAGACAGAGTGGGGAGCAGAGCAGGGCGACTGACTGAAACACACTGCTGAGGGGAGCAGCCGGCGGGTCAGGAGGGGTCTGCCGGCTGCCATGGGGGTCCCTCCTGGCCCGGGAGCGAACCCAGTGCAGTGGCTACGGAGAGCGTCACAGTGCTGTGCTCTCACCCCTTGTGCTGCCACCAGGGAGAGCCCAATATTCACCTTCTGACAAAGGGATGTTTTTGGTTATTTTCCTTTTTGGGGGGAGAATATACCATTTACATACATTCCACAAGGTTCACCCATTTAAGGTACATAAATAAATGGGTTTTAGTATATTTATATTTATAAAACCACTACCACAATCTTATTTTAAGGTATTTTCATCACCCACCCTTCTGAAATTTGTACTAATTGGTCCCTCCACCCCGACACCCCAACTATTTTCTGTTTCTGTGGGTTCATCTAATCTGGCCATTTCACACAAAAGGAATCCGGCACCAGGTGGCCTTTTGTGACTGGCTCCTGTTTGAGCACCTTCTGTGCTCCAAGATCCATGTTGCGGCAGATATCAGCACCCCGTTTCTTCTTACTGCTAAGTGGGATTCCCCGCCGGGACAGACCGCACTTGTTTGTGTGAGGACGGACTCTGGGGTCAGTGAGAGTCTGCGCTGAGCATGCGTGTCCAGGTGCCGTGTACTCCCGAGTCTCCTGCACATGCCCCGGCCCGGGGACGGCGGCTGCTTGCTGGTCTCGCGTCGGCTTTCCGAGGAGCTGCTGAGCGGCGCTGCGACGCGGCTGTGCACCCCCACTCCCGCCTGCAGTGTGCGTGTGCTTCGTGTGGACACGGTCCCGGCCCGGCCTCCGGCTCGGCTGTCCTGTTCCTCCTCCACCTCGGCTCTAATGCCTCAAGCCTTCCTCAGCTTCCTCCTGCCATCTTTGCTTATCTTCCTGTCCTCACACCCCACATGCAGTCAGGCGGGCTGTCCACATTCCACCTGCAGAGCACGCCCCGAGTCCGACCCCTTCCTGCTCCGTGTCCCCACCTGGGCCCAGCCCCCAGCGTCACTCACCTGTGTTAGTGCAACAGCCTCATCTCAAGGACTGCCCTTGAACTCCCAGTCTGGCCTCCAGAGGTTGCCCCCTCTATTCAGAACCCCTTAAGTAGTTCCCTCTGAGATGGCCCCAAGACCCCACACCATCAGCCTCCCATAACCTGTCCCACCCATCTACTGCCACCCCTTACTGGCCTGGCTCTTCTTTGACTCACGTGGGTGGGAGAGGGGCGGCTCTCCAGACGTTTACTGTCCCCGCCCAAGTTTTTTGCTCCAACATCACTTCCGTAGAGAGACCTTCCATGGCATGACCAGCTCTGCACCTGGCCACTGTCGTGCCTATGTGTGTTCTCTTCCTGACAGAGCTGACAGCCACGAGGGACCATTGTCACTCTGTTCCCCCAAATGGGCCTGGCACTGGAAGAGTTCCAGCTCCCGCTCAGCCGCCTCCTCATGGCTGCTGCCTCTGGAAAGGGTGCCGTGTCTTGCTTCCTACCTGCTTTCTTTGCCGGCATGAGGTAGGTATTTCTTCTCTCTTTGTGCTTTGAAAAGGCAGCCATGACAGCATACTGCCAGTTACTACTGGGCGTCCTCTGAGGTCTGTGTTTCCCAAGGCCAGGGACCTGGAGCCCCGGGCCCGGGGTAGGGCCTGGCGCACGGGCAGCCTGCAGGCTCACAGAGACACGCTGTAGACGGGATGGCGGCGTCCGGACGGAAAGCTCCCTTTAGCTGGCCTCGTGGGCTTCAGGGGTCCTTTGGCCTACCATGCTGGTTGGAGCCAAGTATCAGTAGTTGCTCAGGAGCCCCCGCCCCAACTGGATGCAGAAACTTCTGGGAGCCTCACCACCTTGGGTGTGTGATGTGTGCCTTTAAAAGGTGCGCATTTAAAATAGGGTGCTGGGACTTGGTGGGACTCCTGAGCTACAGGGTGCCTGCCCAGGGTCCGAGTTGATTTCTCTGGGTGCCAGGAGCCATCCCTGGGCCCGCGCAGCTGGCGGCCAGTGCCTGCGGCTGGGGGCGGCTTTTGGGGGAAGGAATGCCTTGAGCCGGAGCTTTGCCCGCTAGTCAACCCTGAGAGAAAGCCTGTAAGTACCTTGCCTTGGAGCTGTCAGCCCCGGCGCCAGAGCTCAGTGGGGCTGGGGGCCGTGGTGTTTGTTGGTGGCTGTCTATCAGGCCTTTCTGGCTGCTGGCACCGTTACCAGGCGCCTCCGAAACCATTCCGGTTTTTGTGTAAGGTTGGAAGTGAGCAAACTCAGAGGTCTGTGTGTGCTTTTGTCTGCCCTGGGGGTGGACTGTGTGTTGGGGGGCGGGGGGGAGACTGGGGCCAAGGAATGATTCTCTGCAGTTGGTTCAGTATTGTTTGAACACTTCAAGTGGGATGGTGTCTTTAAACGGCTCTGGAAAATGTGGAAAAGCAAAGATCCCCCACCATCCCGCCCACAGGAGAGGTGCATTCTCTTGAAATGTTTGTTTCCGGGGTTGTTCCATGCTTTTGCGTATGAGAGACCTTTTTGGGGTTCTGTAAATACTCTGTGACTTCTTTGGGGTCGCCACTCCAAAGGCTACAAGACTATAATTCTGCCTGTCTGTCTAAAACACTTAAAAAGGGTGAATTTTACAGGGTGTGAGTTACACTCGCCGTGACACAAACAGGTGCATCTCCGCTGTTGGCGCCTCTGTGTTTCAAAGCTTGTTTCCTAGTCAGTTTGTCTCTGTGTGCGAGGGGTGATCCGCTCTGACTGACCGGAGGGACTCCGGCCCCACGCAGAGGGAGGTGGCTGTTACTGTTTCTCCAGCAGAACAACACTGTGAATGGCGCGCTCTCTAGCTCAGTGATTCATTACTGGGCCAGGAGTGTGAACGTTTTAGCAACTCTTGATGTTGTCAAACTGTGTCTCAGAAAGTCACTGTCGTTCTGTGAAGCCCCCACAGTGTCTGGGAATGTCCCAGCCATCATTGTTTGTGTTGAGGCTTTTATGTGATTAGGAGTTCTGGTTAGTAGGTTTGCTGTATTCAGACATCGTGTTTTTCTTCTCTCTATTAAAAATGAGTCTGAGTCGCAAAGTTTTCCTAGGCACACCACCAAACACACACCCCAGAAAAGAAAAAAAAACCTAGAAAAAACCATTGAAACATTTGCACTTCAAAAGACACCATTAAGACAACCATTCAAGAAGGGACTGGGAGAAAGTAACTGTGATACGCATAGCCAAGGCAGGACTTGTGTTCAGAATTTACAAAGAACTACAGCTCAGTAAAAAGACAGCCTAGTTGAAAGGGGTGAAAAATAGGGATAAGCATTTCTCAAAAAAAGATATATGGATGGCCAATGAGCGCATGAAAAGATTTCAGCATCTTTAGTGGTTCATAAAATTTGAAACAGAACCACAGTGTGATGCCATTTTGCACTCAGGAGATTGTAATAAATCAGACTAAGTGTGTCAGGAGGATGTGGAGAAATGGGAACTCTCAAATGTTCCTGGTACAGGCACCTGGAAAACAGTTTGGCAGTTTCCAAAGGTAAGAATAAACTACCACCTGGCCAGCCATGCCACTCCTTGCTATCTGTCTAAGAGAAATGCTGACATCTGCCCACACACAGACTTGGACACACAAACAAGGTCATAGGAGCTTTCTTCATAAATGCCTGATGTCCGTTAACTGATGGCTGGACAAAGTGTGGTCCATTACAGCGTGGAATATTACTCGTCATGAAAACTGCCAAGTCTTTACACCCCTCTGGGCCTTTGCACGTGCTATTTCTACTGCCTAGATGCTGACTCTGGTTGTCATCGTGTGGCAGATTCCCAAGCCACTCTCTCTGTAAAGCCACCACTGCAGACCAGTCCCCTCTGCGGTGTCCCTCCAGCCCAGCCTTGATGCTCCCAGGCTGCCTACACTGGGAGCAGCAGCCAGGGCTGGCTCATCCACACAGGTGAGGAAATGGAGGTGAAGTGAAAGGTGTGGGGGCGGGTGGGATTTGCAGGCAGGCGGGCTGTGCCGCCAAATAGTCGGCGTTTCTGCTCAGTGCACGCGCGCTCGCTGTGTTACTGAGGCAGGCTGCTGCATCTCTGGAACTGCAGTTTCTCGTCTTTGAGTTAGGGCTCAGCTGACTAAGAACAGGTGTCATAGTTTAAGCACATCAGCAGGACGGCAGCGGAAAGCCTGTATGACAGATTAGGGGTGTGGTGGGGTGATGGGAGTTTGCAGAACCCCTTGTTTCCTTTGCCTTTACCAAAGCGTGGGAGGTGACCCCACCCGGGGCCACTGGGAGGAGCCGGCACCCCCTGGCACCCCCACCTTCCCCTGGAAGTGATGGCGGTCAGGCTTAACAGCTCAAGTCGGAGCTGAATTCCTTAGAGCTGGGATGAGCGGAACGAAGGCAGCCGGTAGGCTTGTCCTGACGACCCGGGCTGTGCAGGCGCCCAGCTCGCGGCGGGAAGCCCCACGGGAGAGCACCCCTACCCCGCCGTCTCCTAGCAACCGCGGGCCGCGGCGGAGCGGTGCGCGGTGCGCAGTGCTCGGCTGGCCG